ACTAATACAAGTACCAGTACTAGTAATAGTAGTAGTAATAGTAGCAGCAGCAGCAGTCGTAGTAGTAGTAGTAGTGGTGGTAGAGGTAGTAGTAGATGTAGAAGTAGTAGTAGTTGGAGGAGTAGTAGTAGTCGTAGTAATATAGCAACAATAGTGGAAGTAGTAGTCGTCGTGATAGAAATACTAATAGTAATGATAGTGGTAGTAGTAGAAATACTAATTTGAAGTAGTAGTTGTAGTAGTAGTAGTGGTAGTGGAAGAAGTAGTAGTAGTAGCACCAGTAGTAGTAGTCGTCGTCGTCGTCGTGACAGCAGCAGTAGCAGTAGTAGTGGTAAAAGTAATAGCAGGAGTGATAATAATACTAATAGCAGTAGCAGGACTAGTACGAGTACCAGTACCAGTAATAGTAGTAGCAGCAGCAGCACTAGTACTAGTACTAGTACTGGTACTATTACGAATACGAGTAGTAGTAGTAGTAGTAGTAGTAGTAGTAATAGTAGTAGTAGTAGTAGTAATAGTAGTAGTAGTAGTAGTATAATGGTAGTAGTAGTCGTAGTTCTGCTATTAGTAATAGTCGTCGCCGCCGCCGCCGTCGTCGTCGTCGTCGTCGTCGGCGCCGTCGTCGTCGTCCATAATCCGTCGTCCGTCGTCCGTCGCCCGCCGTCCGTCGTCCATCGTCCGTCGTCCGTCGTCCGTCGTCGTCGTCGTCGTCGCCGTCTTCGTTGTCGTCGACGTCGACGTCGACGTCGAGGTCGCCGTCGCCGTCGCCGTCGCCGTCGCCGTCGCCGTCGCCGTCGCCGTCGCCGTCGCCGTCGTCGGGGCCGTCGCAGTGGCCGTGACCTCTCACGCTGACTTTTCCCACGATGCTGAGGCCCCGAGGTCGCCCCCGGAGTGCCCCAAGAACGCCCCAAGAGGGGCCCAAGCAGCGACGCTTCGGGCTCCGGCGGGGAAGCGTTGAACCGCCTTTCTTGATCGATGGTCTCCCAATCTGGCCCAGGACGGTTCCGACAGGCCCCCAATAAAACCCAAAAGAATCCCGAGATGCCCCGCGCGTTTCCACAACTGCCGCCTGGCTTGTTCCTGCTCGACCACGAACTCCTCCTGCCTTAAGACATGGTAAAGGACGGAGACGGGATTCTGGAGATGGGCGTCGCTCACTTGCGCGCTGCCAGCCGCGTACCCCCATCACCCTCCGCCTCCCCTCCTTGTTCTCGATGTCCTGCTCCTCTCCGTCCTCCTCCCCTACCCCCTCCTCGTCCTCCTCCTCGGCCTCCTCCTCCTCCTCCTCCTCCTCCGTGCCCACCTCCCCTCGTCCCCCTCTTTTTTCTTATATCATCATGCGGTTGGTCCGCTGGGTTGCCCGTGAAGTAGGCTTCTCCTCCCCATCATCTCTCCCACCATCCTCCACCCCCCGTCGGCGCCAGGGGTAGCGTGTCGGGCTGGCCATCATATGGACAGGGGGTTCACGGGACAAGCAAAACGACCCCCCAGAATCGAAAGAATAATCTCGCTGGTATGAAAACCTGCAGGTGCTGGTTGTGTTTTGCGATTCTTGTGGTCCAGTCCGGATGCTCCTGAGCCCACGCGTTTGCCCTGACCTCCGACGTCGTGATGATGTTCACGACGCTGGCATCTCAACTGCCTCCCAGGACCAGGTCTTTCGCAGCGGGCCGTCACAGAGACTGTCTCAAAGCTCGTGCAAAAATGATCCCTGGACGCCAAGATCTTGAACAAAAACGCCCGCCGTGACTGTTCCGCCCAACCTTTGAAGGCTGGGCTCGGCAGGCTCCTGCCACGACGGCACGGGCTCTGGCTGCTGCGGAGCAGTTCCACCGCAGCTGCTTCACCTCAAACGCTCCCCACGGACCGCCTCCGAAGAGTGGCTTCCGCCCGGACGCACCGCATTAACAATTAGACCCAGGCAAACGACGGCAGCGACACATTACCTATGGGCCGACGGAATGAGCGACTCGATTCAATAATGAACCCGGCGCGAGCCCAATTAGGGGAAGATCATGGACGCATCGTTGGGCGACTCGCTTGGCATTGCTTGGCATTACTTGGCACTGCTCGGAATAGTTTGGCATTGCTTGGCATCGTGTGGCATGGCTTGGCATTGTTTGGCATTGCTTGGCAGTGCTTGGCATTACTTGGCATCGCTTGGCATCGCTTGGCATTGCTTGACATCGCTTGGCATTCCCTGAAGAGCCCGAGGAATTCGAGGAACCTGAGGAAGGCCCGGGGGCAAAGTTGGGTCCCGAGACGCACCAATTCCTAACCAAGCGACATCCCCTCAAGCAGGCCCACTTGGGGAACAGCGGCATGAGCACCGACGAGGGGAGAACCGCGCGAAACTCTTGGGTCGTCGTTGGACCCGAGTCCCAGCACCCTTGGCGGCGCCCGTTGTGCCGCCCCTCGGGCGTGAATGAATGGGGGCCGATGCGTGGGCGGAGAGGAACGTGCACCTCTCGTGCCCCTCCTGGGTCCCAGGGCGCCCCTTCTCAAGGCCCTTGCAGGGCACAGAGGCTGCACCCCTCCCCGACGCCCCCTGCACAAAGGGCACGAAGGGTGCACATTTCAGGGCACACAAAAGGCACAGAGAGCGCACCTCTAGGGCACCAAAGGGGAACCAAAGTGCACCGATCCCGCTACTCCCCGGACCTCTCCCGGGGTGCATTCCGACCAGGATTTCGAGGCGAATCCAATCGTGGCGACGAGGACCTCCCAGGAGAGCGAAAAAGGGGAAGACGGGCGAAGGGTAGAGGTATGGGTACCTTTTCCTCCGCTGACACAGGATGCGCAAAGGGTGCACCCCACTGCTCGACGCCCGAACCCCCTGCGCGCCGCCGCTCGCCAAGCAGTGGCAGCGAGAGGCGGGGAGCCCAGTGGGCTCCCAGAGGCCCTACACGGGACCCCCGCGGCCGAGCGGTGCGCGGATTCGGGGGGGCGCGGGAGGGGGGACGGGAAATCCAGCCGAGCGCACAGGCCCCTGTCGTGATTGGCCTGTTTTCCACCACCACCACCACCATAAGTTCGAGGGGGGAAGGAGGTGGAGGACAAGGAGGAGGACGAAGAGGAGGACGAGGAGGACGAAGAAGAGGAGGAGGAGGAGGAGGAGGAACAGGACCCCCTCCCCCTCGAGCTTACGGTGGCGGCGATGGAAAGCACGCCCAGCATATCGGCCCGCGCCGACGGCCACTCTGGCCAGGAGAGGATCGACCTGCAAGTTGCAGCCACGATCGCGAGGCGGAAACGGCTCAGCGCGCAGCACCCCAGCGCGTTGTCCAAACTCGGGGAGACGTAAGACTCGGGCACGGTGGACTCGGGTTGGTCTGGCAGGGCCATCATGAAAATGACGAGACCCCATCTGAAATTTGACGCGAACGCCCGCTGCAAACACCCCGCGAAAACCGGGCCGTCAAAATTCAAGACGCGCTCGTCGAAAACTTTGGCGAACCCGAGTTACGGCTTACTCGAATATTACGTTTCCCCGACCAGTGCGTCGTGCAAACCTGGGTTCTCAAAACGGACTCTGAAGCCTCGCGCAGCCAAGCCCACAGGACGTGCAAAATCGAGCGCCCCAAACCTCGGATGTCTTCAGATGCTCAATCAAGGGTCATTCATCCATTCACTCACATCATTGGCGCCGATAATTCGAGTAAGCACATCTCGCCGACAAAAGAGCGCAACCCAGATACCTGATCAACGGTGCGATGTCGCTGCACTTCTGGCGGCCCAAGAGTCCCCACTTCTTGCGGGTGGACTCGTAGCCGACAGACGCGCAAGCGTCCCAGTGTGAGCCCCGCGCCATCCGACGTATAGGAATGGTCGCGGGAGCCTGAGTGCAGGGACGAAAACGGGCCGAAGGAGGCAGACCAACCGAGTCTCCTACGACTCGTTCTGGACAAACACACTGCCGCAGAACCTCTAAGCCCTGGAAACAGATTGACGCACACGACATGCGAAGGTGGAGCTATGAAAGTCAGCCGTATCCCGAGGTCGCACGCGGATCGACTCTAACTTACGCAGAAAAGACACCACGAGAGAGGGAGAGAGAAACGAACGGACGGAGGAAGAGGGTAAGAGGAAGAGGGCGAGACGCGAGAACAGGAGGGAGAAGAAGAAGAGAGGAAAGCAAGCCTCCTGCTGCGGCACCTCATTTGCGGCGCCCCGTGACCTGCGCGGGCGCGTCTACGTTGAAGCCAGAGGTTCGCAGGGATGTGTCGAACAGAAGCCAGAACAGTCCTTTGCCGCCAAGCCACGAATAAGCACCCGCGCGCGGGCCGCGCCGCGGCCTCGGGTCGGCCCTTCGGGGGGGATCTCGTTGACGCAGTAGAGACCCCTACTGCGTGCTGGATCTGTTACGGGGCGCCCATCCCGTAGAACCCCTTTCTGGATTCTGTAGCAGTTCGGAGCAGGCCAGGAGCTGTAACGGCAACCAGCGCGACGGTCCGCACATGGGCATTCCTGTAGGCCGGAGCTTTATAAGGCACTCCCACATGCAGTTCGGCTGGCCCACCCACCCGCGGACCGGTTGAATTCCCTGCATGTCTTTGGCCCCCCCGCCACTTCCTACGCGGTAGCACGAGCACCGAGAATCCCGAAGCTGGGAACACCCCGGGCACCTCGTCAGCATATGGCCCCGGTCAGCAGACAGCCCCTCGTGCGAAGTACTTCTCCAGCCCAGAGCCACGCCCCCCAGAGCCTCGTTAGCCGCGTCAGCCACGTGCCGTTGGCGCCCTTCCACCCCGGAGGGTAGCCCGCGAAACCTCCGGCGAGCCGGAGGGGGCGGGAGAGGCTGCCACAGCGCCGTGGGATCGTTCCCGCTCCCCGCCAGACTTTCGTCGGTAGGTGAGGTTGGACTTTCGGCAGCAGTGCGGCAAAGACATGGGTACAGCCACCTCCGAGCCTCCCCCTGCCGGGCCGCGGCCGTAGCCGTAGCCGGGGAGCGCCAAGCCACGAATTGAACGGCGCGCTTGGTCTTGATACCAAAACTGCGTTTACATATCCCCGCGGTACATCATGCCAAACGCCACGCACTTGCCGTAACTATGGTCACAATTCCCGCACGCGGCTGCGGGCTCGAAAACGGACATGGTGATGCCCTCCACTGACAGCTGCACTCGGTGCGCCATCTCCGCAGAATCCCCGCGCGAATAGCTCGAGAGCGTGAAGTGGATGCACGGGTAGGGCACCAAATTGGTCTGGAACTCGGCGATGTCCACGTTCGGGGCGTTGCGCGGCGACACAGTCAGCGAGAAGAAGATCTGCGCCAGCAGCATGTTCAGCTTCGTGTACGTAGGACGCTCGATGTCCAGAGTGTGGTGGCAAATGTCGCACAATGCTTTGTTGTCGTACATGATGGCCACGTTCCAGGAGAGAGTGCACGCAGAGGAAGTGGCTGTTTTCCTCCAGCTCCATGAACATCCCGGGCCCCCGCCAGGACCCGTGCCTAGCCGTCGGAGGCGGAGCGGGGACAGTAGGTGGGGAAGACACAAAAAACTTAAGAGTGCGCTGTTGCCGCCTGAACTACATTTGAGCCGAGAGCGGCTCTCAAACAAGGGTCCCCAGAATTATGTTGCTCCCATCGCACTTCAGGACCACATCCCAGAAATGATCCCGAGCACCCAGAAACTATTGAAGCAGTGTGGAACGAGCAACGCCTCCCAGGGCCCGAGGCGTGAAAACCCTCCAGGCTCGGTAGTCTCTTGGTGCTCGAAATGCTTTCTGGCGGTCACGGCGACTGCAGGTTGGAACATCACAGCCCCACAAACCAGGACCTCTTCCTATGGACCCACTTTTCATCGCGCATCGTTGTTTGACCGTCCTGTCGGGCCGGGCGAAAGGGGGGGATAGCAAAGGGGGGGGGTGAGAATCAGCTCGCGTAGCTGATTTTCCCGGCGCCTCCCAGCGCCAGAGCGATCCCGGGGTCCAGCAGGCGACCCCTGACGCCACAAGACGGCGGACACCTTCCGCGCGGAGTCTCTCGAGATCTATCATATCGGAGGTCCGGAGCCCGCGCCGGCGTCGCCGGCGCGCCGAGAGGGGCGTGGACCTTGGGTCAAGTCGGGCCTGTCCCTCTACAGGAGGAATCATCAAAAACGGTCACAAGAAATAGACTGGGGGCGATGTTTTGACTATTTTTGTATGTTTGCATGTTTTTATATTTTTGATGTTTCGCCCAAGCTCCGCCTGTAGGGGGACACGCCCGACCTAAACCTTGGGCGCAGGGCATCGCATTCGAAAACAGGGCCGCCCTGAGTATCGCTTAACCGATCTCCGTCCCCAGCGGCGTGGCCTGGGCCCCACTGGCCGACTTACCCCCCTAGCCCTAGATGGGGATATAGGTCGTTCCCTTCGGGCTTCGAGGGAAGTAGCCCCAACTGGGTTGGCAATTTGGTGGGGGTCTCGAAGGGGATGGGGATGGGATAGGTCGTTCCCTTCGGGCTTCGACGGAAGTATCCCCAACTGGGGTGGTAACCCCATGCCCAGGATAATAATGTACCCCCCCTTCCTTAAGTCGTTAGTTTTTCTTATCGTCGACCAATAAGAGTTTGGTCGGGGGCGCAGGGGCGCGGAGGCCGAACTTCATTATCACGGGAAAAGTTCGCCATCGAGGTTACTTCCTTCTCATGTTGAGATAACAACATCAAGCGAAGCGAACACGTTGTTCCAGGATGTCTCAAGCGAAACCAATGTCCTTATGTCTCTTTGTAGCTCTTTATGTCTTTCCTTCTTTATTTCTCTGTCTCTCTCTCTCTGTCTCTCTATCTCTTTCTCATCCTCCTCCTCCCTCTGGCGCCCTGAACTTGTTTATCGCTAAGCGTTTACAAATTAAATATAATAAGTTTTAAGCTTTGGATTTTTGCTATCTCCTTCTCCTCTCCTCCTCTTGTTTTTTTCTCCTCCTCCTCCTCCTCCTCTTCCTCCTCTACCTCCTCTTCTCTTTCTATATGTCTATGTATCTCTCTATCTTTCTTCTCCTCCCCCTGCCCCCCTGAACTTGTTTATCGCTGTGGTTGAACTTGTTTATCCTGGCGCGCGCGCACCTCCGAGCTTCAGTTCTGTATTATAAAAATTAAAAAGCCGACACGTTCCTTCAGGATGTTTCAGAGAGGACCAAAAGCTAAGGATGTCTCAAGATATCCTCGGCTTTGACTCTTCTGTTAACATATTTATGCTGACTCTGGCGGGCAACTTTTATTATCCCCCCGAAAACCCCGAACTTTATTATCCCTTAGGGTTTATTATCCGCAGTTAGGGGTTAATTTGGTGGGGGTCTCGATTAGGGGAACAAAAAACGACATAAACATAAAAACTCGGAGGTCCGCGCTTATTTCTCGGATCGGCGCTGGGGCCCCCCGGCGGCGCCTCCGGCGCCGCCCCTGGCGCGCTCCGCGCGCCAGGCAGGAGGGTCCAGCGCCGATCCGAGAAATCCGCGCGGACCTCCAAGAGTTTCTACGTTCATGCCACTTCTTGTCCCCCTATCGATGGGGATGGGGATGGGGATGGGGATGGGTCGGGGATCTTCTGACCCGGGCCAATCCAGACACGGGTCAGTGAGGCCTTGCAGTATCCTGCAAGATCCTGCACCCAAACCCAAGTCAATGCGAAGGATCCTGCACGATCCTGAAGAATCCTGCACCCAGACCTGGGTCAATGCGACCCTGACCCTGCAGGAACCTGCAAGATCCGGCGCTCTGGTTGACCCTCGTTTGCATTGACCCCCGTCTCTGGAGCCCCGAATGGGGATCGGTTACACGGTACCGGCTTCCTCCTCCACTGCCCGAGCTTCGTGCCCGGGGCTGCCAGCGAGGGCGGCGAGCCTGCCGTGCCCGGCGGCCGAGGACGGATGGCGCCCCTCGCCTCCCTGCGCAGAGGGCGGCCCCGCCTCGTCGCGCGCCGCCCTGTCTCGGGGCGTGCCGCGGCGGCTGCCAGAGGGCGCCCCTCGCGCCCGAGACTCCTGCTCACCGTCTGGCCTCGGGAAGCTCTTCTCACCGAGCCTTCTCTCTTGGGGTGGGGGGCTCTTGGGGTGGTAGTTTGGCGGGGGTCTCGAAGGGCAGTGGTGGTTTGATAGGAAAAGGACGAGGAGGAGGAGGAGGAAGAGGAGGAGGAGGAGGAGGAGGAGGCAGAGGAGGAGGAGACGGAGGAAGAGGAGGAGGAGGAGGAGGACGAGGAGAGGAGGAGGAGGGAGGAGAGGAGGAGAGGAGGAGGAGGAGGAGGAGGAGGGGGAAAGGGAGGAGGGGGAGGAGGAGGGGAGGAGGGAGGAGGAGGAGAGAGGAGGAGGAGGAGGAGGAGAGGTGGTAGTTTGATGGGAACGGGGACCCGCTAAACGCTATCGCCGCCCGCGCGCGCGCGCCGGGGCGCGCCTGCCGGCCCGCCGCTTGTGCAGCGTGGCGGTCATGCGGCCGACGGAGCCGGAGGACCTGGTGAGGGCCGGGCGCCGCCAACCGTCGAGGAGGAAAGGAATGGAGGCGGAGGAGGAGGAGGAGGAGGAGGAGGAGGAGGAGGAGGAGGAGGAGGAGAGGAGGAGGAGGAGAGGAGGGAGGGAGGGGGAGGGAGGGGAGGGAGGGAGGGAGGGAGGTGAGGGAGGGAGGGAGGGAGGGTAGGGAGGGGGAGGAGAGGAGGAGGAGGGGAGGGGGAGGGGAGGAGGAGGAGGAGGAGGAGGAGGAGGAGGAGGAAGGAGGGAGAGGAGGAGGAGGAGGAGGAGGAGGAGGAGGGTGTTGGAGGCCCGAACCCCCGACGCCCGAAGGCGCGGGGGGCCCCTGGCCCAGGAACCTCCGATCGCCTGCGCTCTCCCTGGCAGGGAGAGCCCGGGAGGCCTGGCAGGGTCGACTCGAGCAGCCGGGCCGGCGATCGGAACGAATCGGGTCGGCGGACATCGGCGGCCGAGCCGGGAGACGTCGAGTCGGCGGCGACCGGCAGGCCTGCATGCCTCCAAGAAGGAGTCGGGATCCAGATCGGCATCCGAAGTCGAATCGAACCGGAGTCGGGAGCCCTCGGAGTCGAATCGTGTTGTATGGAATCGGAGGAATCGAAACGAGCCCTGCCCTGGCCACCCTGATGGTCGGCATGATCTGGAGTCCCCAAAAACGGTACGGTGACGGACCGTGCGGTGACCTCCAACTCCTCCAAGACCTCACCGCACGGTCCGTCAGCCCCTGTCGCCCGAGACGTCCTCGGAGAAACGCCCGAATCCCAAAACCGTGCGGTGACCCCGAATCCCCACCGACTCACCGCACGGTGTGGTCACCGCCCCGCTTTGGGGGCTACCGTCATGAGAGCGATGCGATGCACGTCGCTATGTCACGCCGGTGCAGCAGAGCGTCGCCGATGCGATGCGATGCGACCACCGTTGCGGACAGCGTCCTGGCCTAGAGCAGACCGGGTGGGTGAGGCCATGGCCTCTAGGATCCGAGGTGTCTGGATTCATGCCATGCGAGACGTGTAAAAAGGTAGGAGGAGAGGGGGAGGAGGAGGAAAAGAAAGCCCTTGGCGTCGGTGTCGGCGCGGGTTGGGCGAGGCGTCTCGACGCTCGCAGAGGTTTGACGTCATGGGTCTGTCCTCCTCCTCCTCCTCCTCCTCCTCCTCCTCCACCTCTGAGTCCCCGGTGCTGGTCGACGTGGGGTCGGTGAAGCGGTGCTCGAGCGTCGCCGACTGGTCTGTCGAGGGGCCTGGTCGCTTCGACTCGGGCTGGCCTTCCCGAGGCCGCGCACGAGGAGGAGGAGGAGGAGGAGGAGGAGGAGGAGGAAGGAGGAAGGAGGAAGGAGGAGGAGGAGGAGGAGGAGGAGGAGGAGGAAGGAGGAGGAGGAGGAGGAGGAGGGAACCGCTCCCCCCCGCCAACTGCACGTAGGACCCGCCGTGCCCTGCGACGCCGCCCGGGGGCACGCGCCAGGCCGTATATATGTGCCGCGGGGAGCGGGGCCAAAGCAGCGGCAGGCCGGAGGGCGGAGCCACGCTGGGGGGGGGGGGGGGCACCTGCGAGCCCTGCCCCTGCCCTCCCCCTCAGAAAACGTGGGGGGTGGGGGCAGGGTGCGCACGTGGCCCCCTGCACGCGTCCCCCTCAGGAGCACGAGAGTTGGGTCGGGCACGTCCGCTTACCGGCGGACTTTTTGGGCGAGAGTTCACAAGTAGCCCAGACATGATCAAACAGGATCGGAACATACCAGAAAAACCGTCCCCTGTCTAGTTCTTGACTGTGTTTGAAGATTCCTCCTGTAGAGGAGGATTGCCAAAGAGAGAGCGACCCGATACGACGCCGCGCAACCGTGCATACTGCGCGGTTGGGGACCGCACTCACATTCCGCGAGGCACTGCCTGGCCACAAAAGCTGCGCCACGGAGGGCGAGCCACGCGTCCCCTTCCAGGGCACAACGGCCGAAAAAACTGTCAAAGAGCACGACGCTGGGTGTCCGCTCCACGGGAGGCTGCGTGGCCCCTGGCGCTGTCCGACTTGGGCCTGACTTGGACCGGCTGTGGAACAAACTTGGACCAGAGTTGGACCAGATTCGCCGTCAGTCTGGTGACGAGGAGGAGGAGAAGGAGGAGGAGGAGGAGGAGGAGGCGGGTGATGATGAGGATGATGAGGAAACCGATGAGGAGGAGGAGGAGGAGGAGGAGGAGGAGGAGGAGGAGGAGGAGAACGAGGAGGGGGAGGGGGAACAGGAGGCCGAGGGGAGAGGAGCAAGAGGCCGGGCCGAAGGCGGCCCCTATGCGGTCCAGGCGCAGGCAAAGCTCATATTCCGGCGTCGCCGCCCAGGGCTCCCGTGCACAGGCCTCGGCACGACGGGCACGGGCTGTGGAATGGCCATCACCGGCAGGAAGCCGCGCGAGCGAGGCACCGCCGCAAGCAGCACCCGTCGTGGCACAGCGTTGCCTCAAGCGGTCCACGGCCCCCGCGCCCTGGAGGGAGGATCTATAGCAGTCCCTTCCGAGCGGCAGGGGGGATCCCCCTGGACCTCCGAACTGAGCACCGCGCGGCAAGAAGCCGTGCGACCGAGGTACCGCCGCAAGCGGCACCCGTCGAGGCACAGCTCTGCCTCAAGCGGTCCACGGCCCCCGCGCCCTGGAGGGTGGATCTCAAATATTCCTAGGGGAACAAAAAGTGACATAAACATAAAAATTCAGAGGTCCGCGCGGATTTCTCGGATCGGCGCTGGGGCCCCCCGGCGGCGCCTCTGGCGCCGCCCCTGGCGCGCTCCGCGCGCCCTGGCGCGCTCCGCGGGCGCCGCCGCGCCAGGGGCGCACCCACGGGGGGGGGGCCTGAAGCCTGAAGCGGTCGCGGTCGTGGTCGTCACCATCAGCATCATCATCTTCATCATCACCATCATCATCACCATCATCATCAGCATCATCAGCATCATCCATCATCATCATCATCATCATCATCATCATCATCATCATCATCATCATCAGCATCAGCATCAGCATCAGCATCATCATCATCATCATCAGCATCATCATCAGCATCATCATCATCACCATCATCATCACCATCATCGTCATCATCATCATCATCATCGCATCATCACCACCATCATCAGCATCACCATCATCATCATCCCCACCACAATCATCAACATCCTCATCATCATCATTATCAGCATCATCAACAGCATCATCAGCATCATCATCATCATCATCTTCATCAGAATCAGCAGATTCATCATCAACATCAACATCATCAACATCAACATCACCACCATCACCACCACCACCATCATCACACCACCAGAACAGGCACTGTCCACGTCGTGCTCATCGTCGCCATCCCCACCGGCATCCCGACATCGTGCCAACAAAGCTTATCACAGTCCGAGCAAACTGCATGGCAAAAAAACACCACGACCATCACCAATATTACCATCACCGTCAGAATCATCGTCGTCACCGTCGTCGCCGTCACCGTCGTCATCGTTATCGGCATCGTCAGCCTGATGATTAGATGCAGCATGTCGACAATCATTACAAACATCACCATCAATCAATACGAAATCAATCAAACAGCCATCAGCAACCAATCATCATCACCATCATATCATGATAGCATGAACACCGATGCTCACACCACATCGACACCCACAGCGACGTCGTCGCAATGAGTCGTCATCGCAAGCACCGCGATCACCACCATCACCACCATCTCCACCATCACCACCATCACAACCACCATCGTCGCCATCATCATCATCGTCTTCGCCCTTGTCCTCGTGCCCTGCCTCCACAATTCCCCGCCCCCTTCCCACCCAGACCGTCTTCCCTCCCTTCCAGATCGAGGACTTGGAGAAGCGAGAGCAGGAAGGACGAGAGCGCGTTCTTACCCCTGGCGGCCAGCTGGTCATCTGCGCGTCAACGTCAGCGAACAGCGTGAGGTTCACGAGGTAATGCTTCCGTATGCTCGAGTGGTGGCCGTACCCACCTCGGGATTGGAACGTGGCGAAGCTTGAGTTAGGTCGGGCGTGTCCACCTACAGGCGGATATTGGAGGAAAAATAATAAATTGACAAGACTGCCCAGAAATGATTACAGCATAACGAAAAATCGTCCCCATATCATTTTTGTTGCATACTACTCCTGTAGAGGGACATGCCCGACTTAGCTTGAGTTGGGAGGCAACTCCTAGGTAGGTCTTCGCAAGGACAAGTGAGGGCGATCAAGCCCGATCGAGAGGCCGGTGCGCCGGATCAGCCTGGAGAAAGCCCAGGAGAAAGCAAGAATGACCAGGACTCGGCGGGATTGGGCGGAATTCATCGGGATGATGCCCGATTGGGCCAGCTTGACCACGGATGTACCATCGCAGATGCCGAATTGAACCTCCCAGGAGTTGCGTCCTCACTTGAGGTGGCAGACCAACAGCCAGCAGGGGCAGCCCAGCTTGGCCTTCGTAGACTTAGGTCGGGCGTGTCCTCCTACAGGCGGTTTTTGATTGAAAAATTATCAAACATGGTCAAACATATAAGAAAAATAGTCCCCAGAAAATGGTTTGATTATTTTTGAATGTTCTCTTGAAAAGTGGCACGCCCCACATAATCCTAGGCTGGGATCCTGGGGTTCTGTTTAGGCCAGCCTTGACTAAATGCCTCCGAGAGCTGTATGTGCGCAAGTCTTGCCATCGGACTCAGACCACGGCAACGAATCCGCCGTACCCCGTGGGACCGCCACGCTTGACGGGTCTATGCTGAAGTGCTGTGTATTGATGGTGCTGCTGAACTGATGGCGCTGTGTTGCTGTCTTGGGGTTGTCTCGCCAATCCTGATCCTGTCATGCTGTCTGTCAGCGAAGCCAAAGACGCTTAACGACAGAGAAACGCCTGGGAGGGGCTGTGCCTTTGGATTCCCGGGAGGAGCGCCACGAGACGGCCCACAGGGGCGCCCAGAAGCCTCCAGGGGCGCCCCGAAAGGGCACAAAAAGAAGCCGCAACAGCCCAAGACGACTGAGAATGGTCTCCACAGACTGTCTCGACTTGCGTCCGACCCGATCATCGGTTGGTCCCGCGCCGCCAAGATGGAAGCAGCAGTCGGAAGAATTCACGGTCACGTCGACCACCTCGATGGCGCCGGGCGCTGACCACCGGGCCGCGTACTGGGAGCCGCCGGCTTGTCTCACGAAAGGGAAGGGGAGGAGGACAACGACGAAACCACGACGTCGACGACGGCGAAGTTTCTACCAGGACTGGAAGCACATGAACACACGTACTCTCATGGAGGTCCGCGCGGACTTCTCAGGTCCGCGCTGGACCCCCCCTCCCTGGCGCGCGGAGCGCGCTGGGGGAGGCGCTGGCGTGGGCCCGGCGCCGATCCAAGAAACACGCGCGGACCTCCGACAAAGTCTATTCATGTCGCCGTCTCTTCTTCAACTACCAGCCTGGAACATATCCCTATCCCTGTGCTGGGCGCCTCCTCATCGCGATGCCAATCCTGGGGACTCCCTTATTTTTTGAGGGCGAGCCCTTAAGATTGTCATCGCCCTTTGGCGGGACAGTCTTAGGGACAGGGATAGGTTCGAGGAGGAGGAGGAGGAGGAGGAGGAGGAAGCGGAGGAGGAGGAGGAGGAGGAGGAGGAGGGGGAGGGGGAGGAGGAGGAGGAGGA